CCGCCGCCGCCGCCGCCGCCGAGGAAGAGCGCGCCGCCGCCGCCGCCGCCGCCGAGGAGCCCGAGCGCTCGTAGGAGAAGCCGGAGGCCGCGGAGCCCGCGGGGCGCCCCGACGGCGCCGCCCCGAAGACCGGCGGAGACAGAAAGTTGCGGCACTGCCCGCTGCCGCCGCCGCCGCCGCCGCCCCCGGCGTCCGCCCGCAGCGCCTCCATCTCCCAGCCGCCCGCCGCGCGGCTCATGCTTCCCGCGCCAGGCAGCCCGGGGGCTGGCGGCGGCGACGGGGCTGCTGCTGCTGGGGCTGCTGGGGCTGCTGCTGCCGCTGCGGCCGCCTCTCCTCCTGCCCGTGCCCGGCTTGGCCGAGCGGCGGCCCGCGGGCGCTCATGGCGTGGGGCTGCGGGGCGGCGGGCCGGGCTGACGCGGGCAGCGGCGGCGGCGGCGGCGGAGGCGGCGGCGGCCTCCCTCTCCGGGCGCCCGGGATGGTTTATAAAAACCAAGGCCACGTTGGGCGGGGGGGAGCGGCCCTGGCGGCGCAGCGGGCCCAGCCCGGCCCTGCATTGGCCGCCGCGGCCCACGTGACCCCGACCCGGCCGCCGGGAAGCTGAGCCAGGCAGCGCGGGGGGGGGCGGGGGGCGCCTTGCCAGCCCCTCGTTCTTCCCCCGTCTCCGCTTTCCTTCCTACGTAGCTGCGCGGCAGCGTTTCGGCAGGGATGCGCCGTTTCTGTTTTTGCAAAGGAAGGGGTGGGGGGGAGGAATAGGAAGATGTAAATACGGTCGCCCCACCCCCTCCCCTCTCTGACAGCCGCAGAGGGGGGAGTGACATCCACTCCGAACCAGATCGGGGGGGGGGGGAATGAAAGGCGCCGACCCCACCGCCTCGCTTTCAGGCGCTGTGTGCAGGAGCGCAGGCGCAAACGCGCGCGCGCACATGCACGCTCGCCCAAACCCGCGCAACGAAGTTTTCAGCCCTGCGCGCGACCCCGAAGGGCTGGGCCCGAAGGTGGCAGGCAGCGAGCCTTTGCAACTAAAAGCGGCGGGGGGGAGGAAGGCAGGACGGGCGGGCGGGCGAGGAGGAGAAGGAAATGGAGCGGGGAGGGGGAGGGGGCCCTGCAGCTTTCTGGGCGCCTGCTCTGGCGCGGTCGTTGCGCTCCTGCTGCGCCGCGTGGTTTCTCCTCGAGCCACGAGGGGGTCGCGAAGAGCAGTTCGCCTCCGCGCTTGGGCCGAGTTCCACGGGGCGCAGGAGCTGACGAGCTGCTGGCGAGAGCGCCTGAAGCCTTCCCTTCCCCCTTCCAAGGGCGCCCGTCTGTTTTAGTTGTCCAGTCTACGATTGGCCCCCACTTACACTCCGATCCCATCCCAGTGCACACCAAAGAAAGTCCGTGTGATTTTATTTGTTTTCGCCAAGGCTTTACGACCTCTCCGACTACTTCTGCGCACGATCCTCGCCGCTAGAGCCTAAGGTCAAGGTTAAGAGGTCGTCTTTTCTATTCACGGTTCCGCTATGCAAGGATCCCGAATAATGGACGCAGACGCACCGAGCAAAAGGGGCACCGCTGTCTGTCCGGCCCAAGTGCTGGCCACCAAAGCCGAGACGCGTTTATCCACCCGGTGGCCGGAGAGCTTTCACGCTGTTCCGCTCAAGGTGTCTTTCACCAGCGCCGGGTTGTTCTGTCTTGCTTTCAGACGGGCGAATATTCTGGCGTGTGGCAAATCTTCCAACCGGCACATCGTCTTGGGGGCTCCCACAAGAGAATCCATCTGTTTCAGAGACAAAGGGTCAGACAGATGGACAGACAGACAGACAGACAGACAGCGCTGCTGCTGCGCTGCGCTGTTTATTTCAGCTGCAAAGCAGAACAAGTACTCTGTTTAAGAGCAAGGGAGGCTACACTTCGAGCCCAAAAAAACTTCCTTTGAAAGAAATGCGGCTTACTTCTCGGCCTTTCTTCCCAGCCAGCGTTCATAGGATCGGGCTTCTGGTGCCCCTTCAAACTGCAGCCGCGCACTGCGATGCTGCCCAGTGCTAATCCGCGACTAACTCTGAGCAGGTTCAACCCTCAGGTAGGTTCGGTCCGGACTGGAACAGGAGTTGGTCGGTTCTGTGGGGGGCTGGAGATCCTCCTTAAGCCCCCTTCGTGAGTGGTGAATTTCCCCGGAGCAGCCGGGCATGGTTCGACGTAGAAACGCTCCACCCTGTTGAAAGAGAAGCGCCTGGATTCGAAGAACTGTTCTGCTATATTTTTATTTCCCCAGCCTGAACTTCTTTATTTACCAACTTAACGGCAGGACATAATCTGGAAAGCAAGCAAGAAAAAAATCCTCGAATATGGCAGCGCGCGCGTGTCCCCGTGCGCAAAAACATTATTTTATTTAGCATCTGGACAGCTAAGTCTGTTTTTTTTAAAAAAAAAATCTGTAAAAGCACTGGGATGATACAGAGAGGATTCCTCACCTTCGAAGGCGGGCAGAGGCATTATGAGACCAGACGAGAAGGTAAAAAAAAACACCTAACAGGACTGAGAAAAGACAGGGCTCCCCCGCAGGGAAATCAGTGTCGATTCGATGATCCTGGATCCAAACAAACCAGCTGTCGAGGGTGCCGTGGCGTTTCTGCGCCACAGGAGACATTACAGCGCTGTCTTCTCAGTCCCGGGGGACGAAATAGGCGCAACACGCACAGCGAAGCAGCACGAAAGCAGGTCTTCTCGTGGGGCTTGCAGCTTTCCAAAGAGCCCTTGGCAGCCGCTGAGAATGGAGCGGGAGATGACAAAGCGGTGCCAGGCGGCACAACAGCGAGAGGCTGGCGGCGAACGCAAGTTCAGGTTCGTCCTGGTGGCTTCCTTGACTCGTGCGCTCCTGATCGACTCAACAGGCCAGCGAGCCAAGCTGACAAAGGTCACACAGTTCGCTCCTGCCTGAAACCCGTTCCTATTTGCTTCCAGGACATGTAAACCAGGCGCTAATTAGGAAGTGGTTACGAAGGGCATTAATAGAAGAGGAAAGGAAAGGAGAGGAAAGGAAAGGAAGGAAAGGAAAGGAAACTTTTTCCTATTCAACTGACTTCTATCTTTTCTTTTCTCTTTTCTTCTAATTAATAGCACATTGTTTGGACAACTTTGACATTAGAAGATATTCCTGCCAAAGTACAAATATCCAAATAGAATATTATTCCTACACCAACACATTTAAGCCGACACCCCGAAATTGCTCCCTTGGATCTGTGCATTATTGGATCAAGGTATTTATCTAAAATTCTTCCACTCTTCCCCAAAGTGTAAGAAAGATGAGCTAGGGTCATGAGGACAATCCAGACAGAGCTGAGCCCTTGAAAGGACACAATCCACTCATTGAGGAACCCTGCCCCCTCCTCGTGAATTTCACTCCCATCGAAATCAGTGGGGTGCAAAAAGCGTGGAATCGTGGCTTGTTGTACTGGATCCCGTTTCCCATTTTCTCTTTTATTTTTTTCTTTTCTGGGGAGAATCAAGGATCGCTGTAAGTTGCCTGCCATGATCTGCAACTTTTCCATCCTGTGTTGGACCCATTTATCCCAGGACGGTGTGCACTAGACTAAAAGAGTGCTTTGAGATCAGTGGTGTCAGGTTTTTTCTTGTCTTTTCTTTTTGTGAGGTGTCTCGAAATGCAGGACCGGCCTGGGACAGGATCCTGCGAAGGGGAATCAAAATAATGAGCTCACAAGGCTAACAAGCTTTCTAAAGCAGAGAAAACACTCGGCCGCCTTTCATAAGTGCGCCAAACCTGCTGCTCTGACTTCGGCTGAGGTTTTCCAGATCAGTCCAACCTGCGAACAGATTCACCAGGAATTACAGAAGCAGAGCAGCCGGTCAGGATGACCCTCTGGTTTTAAGCAAGCCTAGAAAGGGGCAAGAAGAAGAGGGGCTTTATCTGAAAACACGCTTCTCGAGCCAGACTGTCCGGTTTGGAAGTGCCTGGGGGAGGCGCATAGCCAAGAAGCCCCGGGCTGCGCAACTGCACCTTTTCCGAATGGTTTTCCTCGCCCTCCCCCTTGGCCTTTAGTCCATGTGTGTGTCGCTGACATCATCCCTTCTGTACATTTTCCATTTGCAAATGGCACAGGCAGCATCAGTATAAACAGTTTTTCGGCTGCATCTGGGTACCCAGGGAACTGGGTGAGGGGCTTCCTGCAAAGCTGGGGAGGGTGGGAGACGGCGTGGGGGAGGGAAGAAGGTGTGACTGGTGCTTTTAGAAGAAATTATCTCATTTCCTCCCCAGTATGCCAGCGACCTAATCTAATAGCTAGGCAAAATCGTTTCCTAATGAACCACTGTTTCAACCTTCCTGTCATCCACCCTAACCGGATTCTTGAGTACGATCTGACTTTCTCGCTTTTTTTATGGTCCTAGAAATAAAGTAAGCCCGAAGCCTGGAACTGTTCCCATCCAAACGAGCCGGTGTCCTCCAAGAAATGGAGATGAGAGAAGCCACCTGCTATTAGCACAACAACAAAACACCGACCAGACAATCGCACGCATAAGTGACGATTGCTTGCCACGCCAATACTTGACCCACGCTCTCCTTTCGAAACGGTCGCTGCCTTTCCATCAGGCCCATCCTGCGGACAGAGAAGTTAGACAGACTGACGATGCTCAGTGGGTGCTCCAGATGCATTCCGAGTGGCCTGATCGCCACCCATACAGATCAGCCTGCTCATTTTACGTAGCTATTCATTTGTGCCATTTATATCCCACTCTTTTCCCATCCAAGAAGTCAAGGCAGCTAATAATCCTCCGCATTCTCTCCATTTGATCCCCCGAACAGCCAGCCCGCGAGGTGGAGGCCGAGAGTCACCATGCTTGGGAACTAGAACCTGGGTCTCCCAAGCCCCGCTCCAGCCCTTCGACCGGGAGCGTTCTCTGCACTGTGCACACGCAGTGCCTTGGAAAATCCACCCAGTGCCCAGGCTAGTTTCTAACGCTTTATCTTCCTGCAGAAAATCTCATCTTTTTTTTTTAAAGAGTGGACCCGAATTTTTAATTCAGGGTAGCCATCAGTGCGGCCCTATGAAAGAATGGGGGGGGGGGAATTGGCCGGATTTCAATTGTTTTTCCCTGCTGGTGCGTTGGCATTTGTCTGCCTACTTGCTTGCAGTGCCTGAGTTCTAATCTAATTCACGACCTTCCGTCAGGTGAAGATTTTACTGTCCCTTTTCCAGAAATCTAAGCTTCTATGTGTGGGTGTAATTGGGCTTCAAATGGGACCTA